GCCATCGGATGTTTCTCTCAGCCACGTATATTTTGTGTCCATTGTGCATCAAATCTAGAGTTTTTTTTTTTGCACTTTTCGTTGTAACATCATCTTGGACACGTTTAGTACCACTGCCGACAGGGGTACCGGTGACCGCGTTGCTGGTGGGTTTATCGCTCGCAACCAGGGGCCCAGCAGGGCGTTCTACGCGGAACCACAACGTAATATTTCTGCTGTTTGACATCGTTGCTTCTTCCAGCCAAATATGCTACTGAGAAAATACTAGCTATTACCCCAATTAAATAGGGCGAAAGTGTTTATTGTCGAAGTACGAAGCTGTATTAGTCCATTGTCTTTGCGTAATCACTGACATGTTTCCATTCACACCTGATTTGGCTCACAGTACCGGACGCTGATGACGCTGACTAACAGATTCGCACGTGTATTAACAAGCTAAAACAAAGAGTAACAGGAAATGCCACAGAGTAGCGGGCAATCTCTCAGAGTAGCGGCATAAATAATGGAGTAGCGGCCCCGCTACGCTAAAACGCTTTGGGGAGAACACTGACATGTCCAGATGCACACACACGCGCACATAGAAGTCAATCCATAAGTCTGTTTTTTTTTAAACTGCATCAGAGAACAGGGACTAAAAATAGATTACTACAAATGAAAATAAAGTATTCAGTATTGAAAATCTGTCTATAAAATCAACCATTGAATCAACAGACAAGGTTGGTACAATGCTCAAATCATTAGTCACTGACATTCAGAACAGCTTTTTTTTTTCTGAACCATGCTATGCATAATGTTGATGACTTACCTACAGCAGCAACTGAAGACACAACTCTATAACATGTGTATAAAGTAAGACCAGCCATAACAATAAGTATAACTATACCCAATATCAAACCGGCCTCACCAATGGCCCAAGGCATACTGAGTAATGACGTTCCCATCATAGTGTTCCAGACAGAAAAGCTAAAAACAAACCACAGAGAAAGGCAAGATGTGAAGCAGGAATTACAAAAAAAACAAAAACAAGAATACTGATAGGTATTTTTATCTATCAAATACAAGTGTCAATTCACTATACAGTGATATGGTTTTTAATGTATTGATGATGTTAATACAAGTAAAATAGTAACTTAACAGTTATTACAGTTACTGATATGCTACCTGTAAAATCATTTAATGTAATTTATGCGTAAGTCTGAATAGTGACAATTGCCATCACTTTCAGATTTAGTTATTAGAGAGAATAGTTGTTTCACATGATGTTATTGCCTCAATAAAAACATATTGAAAGTCACAAAACCGATATTTTAAACATATACATACATTGTAACAATACTTGATTGTTTTCCCTTGGCTGCTCTTCCAGGCAAGAGCAAAAAGAACGACGGTGGTACGATGTGATCTGGTATTGCCTACAAATTAACAAAATTGAATTTGAAGATTTTTTTGCATATGGGTGTCCCATAGATTCATAGGGAACCAAATATCACACAATGTTGTCGCATATTTAAGACAATGTTGTCATCTCAAACAGTTGACATTTTATAAATTTAACTCTGTTTCATCGTACATGAATGTTTTTGGATACATGCAAACATTTAATGTGAAACAAAACCACCATGTATTATTTTCATGCACAAGTTGACTTGAAACTGTGTCTTTTAACCGAATAGGTCAAGCCAGTTATAAACTAATCAGAATGCTGGGTGGTTCAGCGAAAAATATCTTCGAGTTTCCTATAACAGCCTATTATCAAAGCAAAGTTAAACAATTCACACTAGTCACAACATAAACATTGTACTCTTGAATAGGCATCAGTTACTATGAAAAACATGCAAGTTAAAATTTGACTCATTTTCTCAGGAAAGATTGAAAACATTCCAAAAATAACACAATAAATAAGAATATTTACAGTAATTTGCATTCGTTATTATTAAGTTTCTAAAATTGTAATCAGAACCAGTAGCCAAAAAAAAATTGCATGAAGTTGGTCCAAAAGTATCAACAAAATAAGCATAATATTTCATCAAAATTATGGCAGGAAAACTTATGGTGTCCGGGGTGTTAAAACTTACCAAGGTATCATCTTGTGGTGGTGACAATTTACTGTAATACTTATATCTACTATAAGTTGCAGATGCTCTCTGATGCTCTTCAGTTGTAATTTCAGAACTATTTATTGAACTACTGCTCGGAACGTAGTGAAATGGTTTCCTAAGAACATAATGAAGAGATTTACATGTACAGAAAAAAGTACATTCTGCTCGCTTGCTAGGCAACATACATATTTTGGAGAATGGTATCTTTTCGGATGGAGAAGTAAAGCTGTCAGTTCTTTGTACTGTTCCTATCCTCAGTGCACTTAAAAGATATTTTAGATACCCTTATTTTGTCAAGTAAATATAAAAGAACATTGGCTGACAGGATATGGGTTATCACTTGACATGAACAAAATGAAAAGCATGTTTGCAGTTTTTTTGCAAACAGAATTATTAACAACAAATTTCCTTCCAAAAAAAAGTACTTCGTCAATAAACTATTTCATTTTAAAAAAGTCATTTAGCTTTTATTAGAGTAACAATATGAAATCTTAGTAAACCTTAGTACTGTGTTAATGCAACTAATGCTTTTGAATGTACTGTAAAATAACTAATTTTCACTGGGCTTAAATTTCACTGATTTAGCATTTCAGGTACATTCAGTGGGTTTTAAATTCACTGTTTCGTCATTTAGATAATGTGTTCTATGCACTATTTTACATATACACTGGGTTTTAATTTAGCGCATTTGCCAGTCAACGAAATTAGCAAAATTAAAACTCAATAAATAATTAAACCCTTTTACTGTAATAATTTAAATGACCAATCTTGAAAGACATATGACAAAACACTGATATTGAAAATACAGTAGTAAGGCAGCAAAAAATGTAGTGTTCATATAAAAAATGTTGAACTTCAACTTAAATGAGTCTCAGAATCGGCCAATAACTTACAATACCTGCTGTACCACTAAAATCCTAATGATATTGCTATGACAACAAGTAAACTGAAATGTTTTCTATATTATTACCTAGTACGTGAATAATCATCTGTTGCAAGAGACGAAGACCTGGAGGACTTCCTCTCATCTGTGTAACTGGATTGCCGGCCATTATTATAACTACCAGCTCTTGAAAGTGAAGATTGCTGGCCATCATTATAACTACCAGCTCTTGAAAGTGAAGATCTACCAACGCTTCCAATAGTAAATATCTTACCAGAATGTCTGGAAAAAAACACATAAACAGTCTGATGCCAAGATAGAGCCTGAAGACTGTGAAAATCTTTGACCAAAAAACATTATGGAAGTGTTGGAAAGAAATATGCAGACCCAGATCAATTTTTTTCCAGGACATCCCAATCGTCCACACACACGTTTTGGCATGTGCCGACTCAGTCCCAAGATCTCTAAAGTGATATAAACTAGTGGTGTTTTAGCAATTGTTATGTACACGGGCAGGTGAACACTGTCTAAATCTCTACCAAGGTACTTTGTCGTCAATTTCCTGTTGCCACCCTGCACCCCCCCCCACCACACACACACACACACACCATTACTATCATTTTCCTAACCAAAATCAACAATAACAACAACCCAAATCAATTGTGTATGCTTCTCTTGAGGACACCTATAGTTATCTAGAGTGGCATATACAATTGAATTGAGAAGCTAGAGAATTAGGGTTAAGGTTAGGGACACAATGAAATGTCTTTCAATCTACAATGTTAGTTTGGCTAATAAATTATCTTAGTTAGCCACCAACTATTTGAACTGGGTTGTCAATGGGTAACTGGGAAAAAAATTTAACTTTGAGGGCTGGCCCTTCATTCCTGGTGCTTTGGTTTCAGTTCACAACACCATGCTTTCAGATTACAGATTAAAATATGCAAGGAAATGTATGGCTTATGTCACTGAATCCATTGTATATAGAACAATGACCTTGAAATCACACTAATTAACACTTTTCTCTTCAGTACATTTTTGGTATGGATACTCCATGGAGTCACAGTCAAGCTTAGATCAAAGGTACCAGGATGGTTGCCGCTGTTTGTACATAGATCAGGGAGTTTATTTGCCGAACGGACCAAGGAGGACAGTTTCCGCTTAGCGCAGTGAGGATTACGATGCATTAGCATACTACGGACGCCTTCGACAGCATTCAGTGATTTTCGTGACAATTCTAGACAAATTCTTATAAACAAATATGGCAACGATCGATAACGCGCACGAGTTTGACTACGATGCTGAAACTGCTATAATTCAGAAGACGTAAACGAAATCAAAGAGCATATTACAGACAAAGAATTGTTTTGCATATGCTGTAAACAAAAAGATTGCTCGAAAACAAAAAATGCAGCGATTTTTTACCTCCATGCACTGCCATAGGAAGTAGGGCATACACGGGATATAAACTTCAAAAAGTGTCATTTCGAACCTCAAAATTCAGTCTCAGGTACAACATGGTCTATGTCATGCACCATTGCAAAGATCATTAAACAAGCTTTATTTTGGACTAAAAAACAGTACTAGCAAGGTTTCGAAACATTACCATATTGCGGATTCAATAATACAATGGAAAATTTTCTGAAAAACGAAAAATTACATAAACTTAACAAGAAATTCTCTAATTTCCAAAATTCCAAAGTTCTCGTTCTCACAAACACGATTCCTCTATGTAAAAAATATCTGCGCATGCTTTATGTCCTTTAAGATTTACTGTGACACCGTAAAACAAGACCTTGGAATGTGTACTGTACGCAGCAACGCTTGAGAGTAAATGACGCGTCAGCGACGATCCTGGGGTGAAAGGACGATAAGACAAAGGGAATTATAGGATTAAACTTGTCTAAAACAAAAGAAGTTTAGAAGGATTATTTTGGCTGTGACTCCTTCTCTTTTTACCTCCATGGATACTCACAGTCCCTCTATAAACAGGTCAGTGGGTACTACATTTTTATGGGACTTTACCTTACTAGTTTTGGAACCTAACAATAGTGTATTACTGAATAGGGATTAACTACTTGCTGGGTTTTATTTTCACTGATACTATGCACACATTGCATACGCAAAGCTAACAATCGTTGTTTCATTACAGAGCAAAGCAGTACATTCTAAACCTACTGAATAAGCCTGCAACAAGGAGGGGGGGTTGTGGGTAGGATTCACAGTCAGTTCGCCCCAATGCACATTCGCCCCAGACCAGTTCGCCACACAGTCAGTTCGCCCCAAAGTCGGTTCGCCCCAAGTTTACTGGTGTTCGTTTTCGCGGTTATGCGTGCAAGGAAATGTGGTTTTGAAATATTTTAAAAATTATACTAAAGTAAAGCCACATCGAAGGACGCTGAACGATCACGATCACAGACAAGCTTGCTTACGATACGAATGCAGAGGAGTATAGGTAAATACGGAAATCACACCATGAATCAATGTACCTCAGGATGAGTATGTACATTGTGTAACCAATATCACAGAGTATTTCTAAACACATATATAGTGTTGTGACCTGTTTACGTACCCAGCTGGTGATAAATTAGAATTCGCGACATCGTCATTCCTGGGGGAACAGTCGTCCGCTACATCGTTCAAATCTACTTGAATCGAAAGCAATGGCTTCCTTTCTGCTTCCGTTGACCCGCTATACATAGCCAGTATACTGTCCCACGCTGATATGTCCTCGGAACCACGTACACTAAATCGACAGGGAAAATATCACCGTACATCGATCGGAACTACCTTTCCCCGATCGCCATGTTATTCAGCACGTGACTCAATAAAGGCACCCTATCTTGAGAATTAGTTTGTATATTGTGTAATCACTAACATTATTTGTATAACACAATTTTACGTTTTTTTAAACAGTTTTAGTTAATACTGTCACTTCAGTAAAAATAATAAGCGTGACTATTACACCTGGCATTATAGTAAATTGCTGTCGTCTTGGAACCCGCGATCTCAGATAACTGTCACAAACTGCGTTTGGTATTTTAGGAAGTTAAGTGGTCTTCTCGAATCTTTGGGTTGTACCATTTTATTTATAGGAAAAAGTGTTTCACTTAGAAGGTTAATTCATCGCTAAAAAAAGCAAATGATACGGTATTTATCATTATATCATCGAAAATTTAGTTATTAAAACTGATAAAATTGCCAAGCCACTTTATTATTGAGATAGATGATTGAAATACCCATCATATTTGACAAATTTCCCTTCAAAGTAATACATTTTCCCACGTCGACGTGTTTCGTTTGTGAGGTCAAAGTGTCCGGTCATTGGCCCATATCCCATCTCCTGTTGCGGAATCTCGGTGTGTCTCCTGCCTGTCTGCACGGTCAGCTGTACTAGTTTTCGGGAAACGGGTTGATTCAATTTCATTTATACACTGTCGCCTGTTTTCTTATATTTATTGTTTGTATAACGATGACGTTGCGATGCATTGCCGTACAGACGAAGCCCATAGAGGGACAAAAACCGGGAACTAGTGGCCTGAGAAAACCGGTTACCGTATTTAAGCATGCCCCATACACGGAAAATTTTGTCCAGGCGACACTATCAGCGATGGGTGATGCTCTACAGGGCAGTACCCTCGTTGTTGGTGGGGATGGGCGTTTTTACATGAAAGAAGCTTGTCGCATAATAATACAGATGTGCGCTGCAAACAAAGTAAGTAAAATAACTCGTATCCTATTATTAGTTAATGGACACGCTACCGCAGGGCCCCGATTATATATAGAACACCCAGGCCGTATTTCTGTCCGAGTATCCTATATTAGTCTATATGTTTTTATTATAGTGGATAAGTGTGCTACTAATTAAATAATTACATTTCGCTAATAATATTCATAAGTTAGTTATAATCAAGTGCTTGTTCGCGACAAAACTATAAACAAAAAATACCTAAAATTGTAAAATAATGTAAAAACTAAAAAAATATATACAACATTATAATTAAAGAAACTAACTAAATAAATAAATGCCATGATTTAAACAAAATTATTAGTTTTACAGTTCACTTTCATCTTATTGTTACCAGGTTGTGTTTACAAGTGTAAAGTCAACACAGAATTAACTTTAATATATGAAATGAATAACACATCATGTATTGCATGTACGCAACTTGATACGTACTTAAAGCAATTCAAATCTACATATGATATTACACATTCAAATTAAAAATTGAACCAAAATAGCTTTTTTCTTTTTAGTGATTTTTCAGTTACTGTTCAGTCTTGCAAATACAAATCTACAAATCAACTCATTTTTAATACTGAAAAATGTTTAAATTATTTGATTTCTTTGAAAGTTTTGGCAATCACTATAAAACAGTTACGTCATATCAAGGATTTATATGATATTGGTTCACCTTTTTTTTTTGTGATTGACTAACTTAAAGTTGTATTTGTCAGAGACCATGTAAGTAATGTACAACTGTGATAAATGAAACTGCTATGCTAATCGCCAATATCCGAACTACACCAAGCTGTTCTGTGTTTTGATTGTAATTGAATTTTCAGGACTAGATCACTGAATCGTACACAGAATGCTCAGTTTGTCGATCAAAGATTTACCATATTACAAAATCAATATTCCATGTTAAGCATTTCCCATTATGATTAGTCCAAGACACACACCAGTCTCTTGTTTCCTTTATCGCCATTATGTCCCTTCTTTTCGAATTTATAGGACAAATATTTTACCCATGTTTTGTTACCACTGCATCTGAGTGAACTTTGAGCTTTTATGTACTCCCTAGATTAGTTATGTTTAGCAAGCAATGTTCCCAGATCAAAATTGAAAATGAAGAACATTTCTTCATGGAATGTCTTAGGTACCAAACAGAAAGACAAAAGCTATTTAATAATATCAATATTCCAGAAGAATTGAAAAGTGATAACCAGATATTTAAATATATTATGAGTTCAAGAGAAGATGTACTAATAAGACAAGTTGGTGAATACTTGTACAAAATATTTGAAATCAGAAATAACAATAACTGACATTTTACTTTTACTTTAATTTTATATGTATTGTACTTTATTACTAAAATTTTATTGCTGTCAACCAATGGAAATTATTTCTAAGGATGCAATAAATTCATTATTATTATTATTATTATTATTATAGTACTCAAAGTACAAATTCAAACAGCAGTGCATGACTGGATTTATGGTAGTGAAGGCAATAAGTAACAGGTTTTGATAACGGTAACTCCTGTATGCCCGTATTTGATTTTTGGCTTGCAACAATTTTAGCTGACAATACAACTAAAAAAAAAAACAAGCTAAAAATTGATTCGGACATTCTATAAAAGTTACAAAGCTTACTATAACCTATATATCATCTGAAAGTTCAGATATAAGTAAATAAAATAATTTGTATGTACATAGCCAGCAGGGGTTTTGTTAATAGCCAGCCACTGGCCATATGGCAGCTGCTATAAGCCCAAATTGGTTGTCTACTTTGTGGTCTCCCCACTGCCTAGAGCCTATTTATTTATTTTTTGGCTGGTTGTTACAGGACGATGGCCTGCTATTAAATGCATTCCCAAGATTGTATCTCAGAATTATCAGTATCTTATTTCCATTAAAAACAAAAACACTGCATTTATTGCTTCAATATTTTTTGTTCTGTTTACTTTCTTTAGTTATTCTATTGTTGCACTTATTTTTCAAATTATAAATCCGAAATTATGACCTTGCATGATAATTTCTCTGACTTGAATTTGAATATTTTACAATTTAAATTATGCATCAGCTGTAGTGATGGCTATTTGAACTTTTTTTTTGTTAACAATTATCAATTTTGAATGGTTCTGAAGAAGTCTTTATTCTCATGAATTACCTGTGCATTGCATAGGATGTTTGTAGCACTGTAGAATGGACAATTGCGTCTTTGTTTTCTTGTTATCTGGTTTTGTTTGTTTTCTAGCTAGCTTCATCTACAGACGTGCTACCAACAACGAATCATTTTCCCCTGTTGCTACCTTAATTATTCATCACCGTGACACCATTTCAACTGTGTGTGTAGTATATCATACACGTGTAACAGACTGCAGCAAATACCCGCATATTGTTAGCTACAATCATCAAGTCAAATGATTGTCACTTTTATACATTCAATATAATACCATTATATACTATATCTAAACACGAAAAGAATTTAAACTTCCCCAGTAACTTACTAAAATATTTTATACATTTTGTATGATTTTTGTTATTTTTGTAGCTATGGTAATAAATTATAAATGATATTTTTTTATGTACAGAGACCACATTAAAGGTTTTGACATTATTCTAATATGGCTGCCTTTAATTAACACTATTGTTTATTAATTTTTAAGTACCGGTAACTTAATTACTTCGCACCAATTTCAATTTTTTTAAATGTTAATTTAATAACTTGTTTTGTTCTGATAGGTCAGCAAAGTGATTGTTGGACAGAATGGTTTGTTCTCTACACCAGCTGTCTCCTGTGTTATTCGTAAGCGTCAAGCTAGTGGTGGCATCATTCTAACGGCAAGCCACAACCCAGGCGGTCCTAAAGGAGATTTTGGAATTAAATTCAACATTTCAAATGGAGGTAGGTAATTAACATAAAAATGTTTGTCATACGCATGAAGATGCCATACTGAATTAGGAATGTGCCTCATAATTTTTTTTAATTAGTGTGCAATTAGACAAAATTTGCATAAGTATGTTGTCTAATCATTGGGTGTTTTTTTTAATTCATTCAACAGTTTATTTGAAATTACGTGGAAATATAAAATACAATACATTAAATAACTATCAATTATTTTTTAAATACCAGATTTCACACAACGCAGTATGTTGTATTAATATTTAATAGTTGTATCAGGGAAAGATATTACTGAATTTCATAAAATATATAATTCTGGAGTATGCATGGGTAATTGTCTATATTCAGAATATGTTGAAAACGATGGATCCTTAAATGTTGGTACAATGTATAACATTAGGTGTTTTTATCTCTGCTCAATGGTTTCCATAAATAGGGCACTTTTTAAATTTTGTTTTTAAAGTAAGACTGATTTACTGACCTGTGCGTTAAATACAGTATTATTGTTACATGTGTTGATACATATTACTGAATTCTTTATTCAGGCGCTGCACCGGAGGCAGTCACCAACAAGATTCACCAATTAACTACCAAATTGGATGAATATTTCACATGCCCTGATCTGAAGGTTGACCTCAAAAAGGTTGGAGTTCAAGAATTTGATGTGGATGAGAGGAAGTTTACAGTAGAAGTCGTTGACCCCGTTGAAGACTACTTAGCATCCATGAAGGAAATATTTGATTTTGAGATTCTCAAAAAACTGTTGACAACCAATTTGAAATTTGTTATTGACTCCATGCATGGAGGTAAGCTTATCTTGACGCTGTTTCAATTTTATTTGAGGTCCTTATTGACTATTAAAGTAACAACTGTATATAACTTATGAATATCAGGTTATTACGAGGATATCTCAAAGTATGCACAAAGACAGTACAGTGGGAGTCTCGTCCGACACGCAACAGAGGTCAATGCAACGGTGTATTGTCTGAGTGCATACTTTGAGGTATCTTCGTAATAACCTTAAAACGATATCCAAATGCAAAAAGATTCCCAGAATATTCTTCTTGTCTAAATGGACTAATCAGTAAGCTAATATACGTAGTTTTCAGTCTTGTGTGTATCAAAATCTGCTTGTTCAATACCGGGTATACTTTTTCTCAAAATATCTGCACCTGACTATAACATGCT